AGTTTCATGTTGTTGGGATTGACTTCCTGGCTCGGCAACAAGAAACTGCCTTGATTACGTCAGTTCGTCTTCATCAAGGGCGACAAGTTCCGTCACCTTCACTATCCCAGTCCGCGACTGGCGTCGTACAACGAACCGCGCTCCTCCGCGCCCGGGCGGGCGAGCCGTAATCCCCTGCCCATCACCTCTTTTTATTTCTCTTTCTCTGTGGGAGAAGGGGCACTTAAAAAGGAAAACAGCAGCGAGAGGCTCCGAGGCACGGCAGGGATACAGACAAAAACTCGCGTTGATTTCTGACCAGCAGCGCCTCTGTGACCGGAGCTGGGCTTTAGGCAAACAGCCGTCAAAATGTCGTGTTCCCCCGTTGGAAACAGGCCGTGCATAGATCACAGATCGTATCGTTAGGTGTGTGGCTTAGGATTGAAGACATGCACAAAGGAAAGAGGTGTCCCCAGCCCTCACAGCAGCGGCTAGAGGAAGGATGTAGAGAGAGTTTGTTTACCAACAGCGCCTACAGACACCCTCTAATGTATTGGTGCTCGGGGGGAAATAACTCTTATCGCACAGACAGTGGCAGCGCCACAATTGGCCTACGTAGAAGAGCGAAGGACAGGGGCGGATTAGTGGAGGCCAGCCGAGCACGGTGGGCTAGCGCGGGTCACCGTGGGTAGGAGGTATCCTGCCCCCCAGCATCGCACAAATCAGGCTGTAGCTAAATGCCACATCCAGCTGATGTCCTGCCTGCGGACAGCCGTCTCGCGCGCTTCTCCGCCTGGCCGTGCGCGGGCGTAGGTGCGCTCACGCTCTCTTGCCTGCGGCTCGGCGGAGATGCCGCAGCCGAAGGGTGATTGTCAGCGGCCCTGAATGGGAGTGAATCACTGTTATAAATAAGCTGCAGAAACATCATGCTGAAGATTGATGGAACCCCGGCGCATCCATTTAGTTCTTTGCGAGGGATCCCAGTTTAGCTGGGAATCGTACAGTAATAGGCAGGCAGCAGGTATGCATTAGCAGTAATTGAAATTGAACAGTACGAGCACATTTCCCTGTCATCCACAGGCACGCTCTCTCCTCCAAGCATTCTATGTATATAAAGACAACAGTGAAGGATATATAACGGTACTTAATGTCGCAAACACAAAATCTATATCATACATTATGAGGTGGTACTATTATTGCTAAAAGAAGTAAAGTGTGCTCGGGTATAATGGACTGGTGATGATGGAAGTGTTTTTTGGGTTTAATAAAATCTCAGTTGGACTCAGCCGGCTCTCATGTGTCCTTTCAAAAACAGGTATTTAACACAATATTGCCAGACACGCACAATGGAGCGTCATCGGATTTTTGAAAGCCGCAAGGCACCATCCCCACAATTTAAAGCCACGTAACACCACGGGGAGCATAAATATGTCGTGTCTGCGAGGTGTCCCATCGCAATGGTGCACCTTTCCCCGCGTGCCGCCGCGCCGTGCCGCGCGGCCCATCTGAAAGGTTCGGGTCTTCCGCGCGAGCTCGGTGTCAGCCTGGCTCGCGGGTTTCAGTCACGGAAAGGAAAATCTCTTTCTCCCCTCCCCCTGACGTCCAAGCAGAAACCGCTACCTTCAAAAACAGAACAATTACCTTCTGGTGCAGGCACTGCACGGCCTATTGATGGAGTGTTTGCCAAGGCAGAAATGTGAAGACGAGGTGGTTTGGGGATATTTCCGTCTTCTTTAGTTATATTAATGGCGAGCGAACAGCACTAGCTAATTGTGAGAGTGTGTCATATATTTCATCTCGTGTATCAAGAATGCACTGTGAATATCAATGGGTGTCCCCTCGCGGAGGGTATTAGCGCGTTCATTTATTGAGAGTTATGGAATACAGAGAAGAAAAAGAACATGTTATGTTTGCATTTTATTGTCGTTTTTGATACTGCCACAAGTGCTATTTATGACATACGGAAATATCTATAGTGCATGAAAGATCTTTTTCTTGGCTTCAGGGGACACATGGCTGATATGTCTCTGTTTTTGCGTGGGGAGCAGCACAGCGATGCTCGGTGATATTAAGCAGCCCGCTTTGGCACAGCGCGGCGGGTACCTTTTCTTTAATAATACCGGACTGCAGTCTAAGATCGTCTTTTTTCTTGTTCATTTCAAAAGATGACATAATTAATCCAAAGCAAACAGATACCTCCAAAATCCGACAGGCACGTTGAGAAAGCTGCGGGCATTTTCTTCTCTTTTACTTCAGCTGAATGTTAAAACGATAGTTAAGTAAATCCTAACTTATTTTAAACAATAAATACACTCGTGCCTATCGCCCTTTCCTCAGGTGCTGTAAAATTGCCTTTTTTTTGCAACCCGCGTCGTCTTTGGATAAACATAATCATTATCACTAGTAACTAACAGTATAGGAACTAATAGTTTTAGTAACGTAGTATTTGTAAATGCAGAACAGAAGATCTTGTATTTACAGATGGGCTGGATTAGTGGGTTTCTTAGTATTGCAGTACTATTCTCACTGTGTCTTCAGCCCTACGTGTCTATGTTTTAAGTAATATCTGTAAGGTTTATTACCGAAGCTAAGGTTCTGTGATATGTCATGTATAGTCCGAGAACTGTGTGCACACTGTTCCGATGCACGACGCTGGCCATCTGTAAAGTGGTCAAGCCTGTCGCTTTTATTTTGAAATGTATTAAAATATTTTAATGAAGACTGAGGTGTACCCAGATGCACACAGATGAAAGATAAGATGTTATTAGACGAAATGGCACGCAGGAAAAACAAGTATTCATTGGAAGCTGACCCCTAGAATGGACGGCCAAGTAGGAAGTATGGACGTCAGATTGTAATATCAGAAATATACTGGTATCTGATTGTATCATCGAAATGTTTGCCTTTCGGTAATACTGCTGGCTGAAACTTGTTGAGAGAGCTGTAGAAATCCAAGCTGGTGTGGAAGTTGCGCAATTTTCTTAGTGATGCGTTTTTACAGATGTTTTGTATGTATTTGCCGTCGGTAAATACAATCTGTTTTCATCGCAATGGGCGTTCATTTTATTCAAGCTGGGAAGAATTTCACATTTCAATTTTTGGCATCATTATCATTTACAGCTGTTTGTTTAGTTTTTTATCTAAGTCGATATATGTACAGCTCCGTGTGCTCGTAAAAGGAATGTTAAAACCTTTAAAAGGGAACCTCCGGGGGAAAAAACGACCTAGCGAGTTTTAAATAAATATTAGACATTGAGAAAATACTCACTTCTCCTTAAAGCCATCTATAATAACTTTTAAAAGAGTTTAGCACCTAATAGTTCATCCACTGAGCTACTGTCGTTGACACCTCAGTATAAAGCACTCTAGACCAGATATACATATCTACATCCCCCAAAAGTTAAAATGCCATTTTAACTATGTACGGAAACCGCGTAACCTATTGAATTGCAGACGAACACATGCATATTTTATATTTTAGTAGGCACAGATTTGTCCTCTCAGCACGGATAATTTGCCTCCTTTAAAACTAAAATCTGCAGAGGATTGTTGAGTTGTGTTTTTCGGTGATCGGAAGAGAACAGATATAGAGTAAGGCTGGCGTTGCGACTCGGCGTGCATTTCCTACTCTACTACTTTACAAACCCTCTTTCTTCTTATTCGGGCTTTTTCCTAGCTCTGGTGGTGGGTTTTGTTCTATATATTTTTTAAATTTCCAAAACAGATATTTAATATAATTGTCAATTTTCAAAAACAATCCCCCCCCCCGTATTTCTGAGGACGGGAGCCACCGCGGACATTTTCGGAATCGGCTCTTACTCCTTTTCTGCTGCCAACCGAAACGCAGAACAGAAAAATACATTTTCTTTATGGTCGACCCATAAAAACAAAAAAAAAACACTAAACAACCCCAATTCCGCCAACAACCACGAAAGTAGCTGTCGCGTCATAATCACATCGTCTACCAAGGGAATCAGTGTAAATACCTGTAAATGTAACAAGAAAAGTGAATTTATATGAACGCACACACCATTTGGGCATCTCAGCACATCAAAATCTGCTCCAAAATCTAATCTATTGAAGAGAAAAATACAACAACGCTTTTTAAAAAAATACAGAATACGTTTGGTGCTTTTATACACATTGTGTAGTTATTATTTCAACAACAATCATTCTTACTCTTCCTATTATAGACGTTCAGCAGTTCTCTTCCTGCAATGCGGTAGTCTGTATCATTCCCGGTGTCTGAAATGGGTCTCAGATGGCTGTGCTGTGTGTGTGTGTTTTCCTGTTTTCCCGGACTGGTGCTTGTGTGGGCAGAGGACACATTTGTCTGGAATCCAAAGTCATTTTCACGCGGGGAACCTGCGCGAGCGGCCCTGAGGAATGCCGGGTAAACAAAGACCAGCACGGCTCGCGGGCAAGCCGGGCGCGCGGCCGCTCGGGTGGGGGAGATCGGAGGGAACATCGGACCCTCGCAAAACTTTTTTCCTTAGCTTCCAGCATTCTCCGGTTTCGCCGAGGCTTTCAAACACCGTACCCCTGTTATTCATTTCGAAAAGCTCTGAGCCGATTAAACGCGTGACAGGCCGCTCTCTGTCTTTGAAGAAAATCTCCGGCTTTCGAGAAGCTAAACATTAATCCACAGACCTGTGCTGTGTTGAAGATGCCGATACTCGAACTTCTCCGACAAGGAGTGGTTTTAAATTATAGTTACGTATTAGTGTTGCTCATGTCGCTGTTTTGTTGGAATTTGACTGGAAGATTATACTTGAAATTTACCCGGGATCCCTCTCTCCTTCCTGGTGTAATTATTGTTAATGTACAATCTCTAGGTTTTGTTATGTTCCCTTTATTGAACAAAGAGCCAGAAATCAAATTAATCAGAATCCCATTAAATTCTGGATGATAATATCCTGGTTTTCCTGGTTCATAAGATAATTGGGGATTTATTATAGACGAACACTGACGGGCTGTGGGACGATTAAGGGAATGAAATCGTTTAGCTTAATTAATAAAACGAATCCGCGCACTGCCGAAATAATTGAGGCTAATTAAAACCCTACACGACTACAAAGCCGGACTGCTCGTGCAATAAAACCAGCTCATAACTTTCTCGCTTGATAACTCTTCGGAAATCGAGAGCGGCTTTATCGAGATCAGCTTTTGTCCATTGTAAATATTCAAACCGCTCAGACAGTTGTGTTTGCCTTTTTTTTAACGCTCGTCTCATCTTTGTCTGTGGCACAAAATATTGAGCCGATCTTGCCTCTGAGCGGCCGCGCCGGTAACGACGACTCGGCGAGCGCGAGTCAGTGGTTCTGGTGGTGGGGTTGGCGGTGTGTTATTTCGGGATCCAGGAAATGTAACAGTTGGGATTTTATGTTGGTTATGACTTCAAACGTTTAAGTAAAAAAATGAATATTATTCACTAATGTTTTGTTGTTGTTGTTGTTGTTGTTGCTGCTCCTGCTGCCGTTCTGCCTTAGCATAGGACATACTGCGGAGGGTAAAGGTCTTTTCCAATAGGATTTGCCCCCTCTTCTCCATTCTCCTCAGTCACTCTGCGGTCAGGACGAGCTGCGAGTCACACAACAGCCACACAGTAGCGAACCTCCAGCTACAGTGCACGCGCACGTACGCTCGGCGACCTTCCCGCAGGAGCGCTACCGTGCGACCTGCCCGTGCGTTTCTGTGCTCGCGAGGACGAGCAACGCGAGCGAATTCCAGCGGGCAGGGAGACGGTTTTATTTTCTGTACAGCGACTGTGTGGCTTCGCTACACATCAACCAAACACATCAGCAAGAAATTCCGTTTCCCATCGTATGGTGTGTTAGCACGGGACAGTGTGTTAGGAGTTCACGTTCAATTCATGACATACACACATGAAGAAATAATTATAAGAAGAATGTAAAATCGTTTTTTTTTAAATAACAAAAACCCCTCAAAACCCCTGCAACTTCAAAAGAAAAAAAAAAACAAAACAAAAGACACATGAGCAGATCCACAGGGATCATTTTTTATTAAGTTATTTGGTTGGTGGAATGTTGAACACACATATCAGAGTTGACGTGTCTGTGTATTGTCGATCTGAAGAGCGGCAGAGACAGGATAGTTTGAGTTTGAAATCCCATCACAATGTGAACTTGACAGTGCACATGTAATTGCAGCAGAATTGGATATTCCCATTCAAATAGCTACTGCTCATCGGAGCTGCCACACAGATAGAAGCGCGTTTGTACTCATTTTATCTGCGATTTAACACACAAAGCAGCTGGGTCTTATTTTTCTCTTCTGCTGGAACACGTTACCCAGAAGAGTTATTGTAACGTCTGTGCAAAAGGATTACAGTGTTCATCACGGCCTTTTAGAAGTGACACTGGAGCATAAAGGCTAGGGATTCTGGCGTAGCGCGTTCTCAGCAAAGCTGTGGTGGGATTAAGCTGATGGACCGAGACAACCCATTCAAATTGTGGCGATATTTATGACAATTAATAACAACGCAGAGTTGTACAATAATGGATTTGTAGTGTTTTACGAGGCTCCACATCTAGGTAATACGGGCTTCTGCATATATCACGCTAATGCGGAGAATGGGGCCTGCAAGCTAAATTACTGTTTGCCTGCGACCTCTGACTCCGGAGCCACGTTATCTCAGGTGAACACGCGGTGCCGAACTCAGGTCCTGCTCCCCAGTGGGCCGTTTCCAGCGCAGGTTCAGCGTGCCAGCGCAGGCTCCGGGGCCGCGGTGACCTGAGACACGCTCAGGTTAGAGAGGGAGAGGTTAGCGGCAGGAAACCGGAGAAGGGCGACTCGGCCGCGCGAGGTTCTCCGGAGACACGCACCACAGCCCCGCGAGCCGGCTTCAAAGGTTACAGATCCATCCGCCGCGGGCGGCTCCTAGACTTGAACTCTGCCTCCTAAAATGATAAAAAAACACACTCTAGCATTCCCTTCTTGGAAAGTTATACGATGATAACTTTAAAAAAAAAACATCAAACAACTACAGTAGCAATAATAGCAACATTTCGATATGTATTTATATATTTTTTGCCTTTATTTCTGTTTTTTTAAACTAGTGGATTTAGGCTCCGGTAATTAAATATTCTACAGATATTTGCATGGCGTGTAAATACACATAGGCCAACAACAATTATTAATTATATTATTAGAATTATTAATAATTGTTATAGGTGTCTTTGTAGATATTATTGTTCTATCAATATGATAGAACTGCTATCATATGCTCACCTGAGCGCTTTTCATGAAGGTTAAAGTGGTGTATAATAGCACAGACGTACACCAATACACGTAAGTAAATAGAAGGAGAAATACATTTTGGACCTTACAGAAAAATAGAAATAGCATCCCGATCGCCCCATCTGTAGTATGTGTGTGAACTTTCAAAGAAAGTACGTTAAAAACTCCATATATCGAAATTGTGCTGGAATCGAGAAATTTCGCTTTTGTCAAATAATTTAGAAGCCCGAGGTGGGTCATCTCACCGAGACAGACAGACTGATAAAACTATGTTCCACAGTAACAGCGTTTTAGAGAGAGGCGACGTTAGTGACCCATTTCTGAAAGAGGAACGCGACGCCAACGAAAGTTAGAGAACAACCATTCCTAGTTTCCTGTCGTATACACGCTGTATGTGTTCAAGTTCGTTACACGGACGAAGTATGGTTCTTACCCTACGGAATTAGAACAACGACGTCATTAAATTAGTGACGGAGGGTCTGAATACCGAGCCCACTGACCCCAAAGCCCAAGAAACAGCACGGGTCAGACCCAAAGAATCACACCCCGATTCCAGCGCACATCGCTGTGCTCCCGGTTTCTGGTCTGTCATTAGCTGACCCTAAAAAAGAAGACAACACTATTGTTAATAACTTCAATTTCATATTTTTTTTGCGCTGCATATTAGGTCATTTCCGGACGCATAAAAAATAATATGGTTAGCATGAATGAAAAATAAACATTTTTTTTAAATATAAATGTATTTTCATGCACACAGAGACACATGCATAGACTAAATACTTCCACACACGTGTATATATATATATGCATCGTCTATGTTCGCTCCGCAGTGACTGTGGATTACAAAAACGACGCTGATACACTTGTTTAGTAGACCACATTAATTGGCGCATTTATTGCTTATAACCCTCACAGCAGGCCTTCGGATTTTGTCACCAGGAAACCTTTCGTAATTACGCTGCATTTAGGAGTTGTGTTTAATCACGGATCAGGAAGCGCTTAATTAACACAGACCGCGATCCCAGGACACGGCTGCAACTGAAAGTCCCGAAATATCTTAGAAAAACAATATAATAACATTTACGAAAATTCTAGTAATTGTGATATTTTAAAATAAAATAAAGCGATTATGGACATAATTACAGACATAACAATAACATAACAACAACAACAACAACAACAACAATAATAATAATAATAATAATAATAATAATAATAATAATAATAATAATGACATTTTTATATGTTTACAGCGAGACGGGAATTTGCATGAAATCGCATTCATTACAAAAATTCTGAAACGGAAATATGGTACAATAATAACTAACAAGAAATATTATTTGAAAGGGAATTTAACTGGAGCCCAAGAAATACAGAGCTGTCGCTGTAGACATTATTGTTATTGTTATTAAAATAGCTAATATTTCAGATCCTTCCCAACTGCTCGGTTAGTCTGTGTTTTTTAAATGGCTGCCCGGCTCGTATTACCGGACAATTATATTTTTATTATTATTTGAGAAAATACCGAAGGGAGGCCCCGTTGCTCCTCGCTGATTTCTGACGAGCCTCAGATTTCAGTTGACAGTTTTCGTCCATCTGAGCCGAGAAACGGGCGAAGGGCGCGAGTGGAGCTGGGCCGAGCCTGTCGTCGCGGGGGGAAGTGGACTGGGTGTCCCACGGCGGGTGCACATCGCCCCGAGCCGCCCGAGGCCCCGGCGAGAGCGTCTCCCCGTCCTGGGGTTTCTCCTGGGTGCTTTATAATGTACCGTTATTGCAGGGAGTGAGGGTGGGTTCTATCGCGGGTGAGAATTTCATAAACCCTTCACTGCCAATACACTGCTCGCTATCTATCGCTATTTGGCTAGATCTCTAACCAAAAAAGACAATTTTATTTTCCACATTTTTCGTTAGTTTTTGTCTCAACATCCGAAGTGTTTGCATGCGTGTGATTCCTTTGAAGGGGGGTATTTGAAAGGCTGTTTCTTGTTACAGCAGGAACTATCTTAAGTACAAGGTCATCTTCTGAGAAGAGTCGAGCCCGGAGTCCCGAATTCCTCGTTTAATTCCTACATTTCTGTAGCGTTCGGCTAACAAACAGGAAATATTGCAGAACTGAAACAGCGCCTCATTCACAAACCTGCAAGCTCCCACTCACGCAGACCCCACAACACTGTGCGGGCATATATCTGAGCTATTGGCGCTTATTTGGTGTTGTGTTGTATATATATTTATGATATTTAGGATTCTGCTCGCGATCCTCAGTTTTGTTTTCTTCCTCATATTCGTGCCGTTGTTTGTGTGTTATTTTTTATGTATCCTCTTCTTCGGTTAACATTGTCCTTTTTTTTTTTTTTAACCGTGCTCTGGCCTTGATCGGTTTTAATTAACCTGGCAAAACTACAGGCTATGGTAACGGAGCGAACTGCACAAATGCAAGACGAGGCTGCTCTCTCCTCCCCCCGCTTGCATCAGAGTGTAAAAGGGGGAGAGGCATGACATTAAAATAAGAAATCGAGATTTCTATGTCTAGAAATTGATTTCTCACGCCCCCGGATATCTCCGATTTGAGTAGTGTGATCGGCCGAGTGCACGAGCCGCAGCTTGCGCTCGCGACATGATTCCCTCTGATTCTCAAGGAATAAAGACAGGAGGTCCTTTCTGCTGCAACTAGAGCCGTACATTCATGTTGCCGAACACACACACACGCATACACGCGAAATAAACACTTCATAATCGTAAAGCGGGTGCAGTTCACTGCCAGTTCTTTTTATTGGTCATTTAATTAGCCCTCTACAACACAGGGAGAAGCCAATTGTAGTACACGGCGTTTGATGTAGTCTGTACATTACAGAATGAAAAGCAAAAACAAAATAGCTGCAGATTGTTACCCGTACTTTTCATTAAATAAGGAAGAACGAAAAGGGAGCAAAATGACTTCCTGAGAGATAGATCAACGTTACGTTTAACAGGGTAAGCTGTTTTTAACGATTACAAGCATTAAACAGTCAAACCATTTCCTTTTAAAATTTTCACAACTCACAGAGGCAAATAAAACCCCCGTTTTAAATCCACAGCTTCTGCTGCGCTGCGCCAAGACGTCAGTTTGGCAGCGTTCTGTAAAGCAGTCCCGATTTTCCATTGCAATGAAACGCGCCGTTTTGTTTCACATTGATCGTGGGTGTTGTTTTTTTTTTATTGATTGTAATAGAAGACAGAGGCCATGAAGCCGAACTTGACGCCGGGGTTAGTCCGCGCCAGCGGAGAATCCGGTGTCCAGAGTCCAGCTCTGAAGACCCACTGCTCTTCTCGGGCGGCCGTGCAGCGTTTGACGAGAAGCCTCCTTTGTCATACGTTCCCGTAACGTAATGCATACAGACCCCTAACAACCAGCTTCCCGGCGATACTTCACCCACTTAAAACAAAGACACGGGCATAAAACAACTGCGAATCGCCGATCACGAGCGTGGAGGCTGCGGGACGTGAATTTGTTATTTCAAGAGAGAGTGGACTTGACTCCACTTCTGTAGCAGTGCCCTTGCGGGAGCCAGTCAGGCCTACTAAGATCTCAATGGAGGGTTAGTGTCTTGTGCTAAATTGGCCAAAACAAAGAGCTGTGCAGCAGGTATGCACGATTGTTTTCACGTTATTTTTTTTTTAAATAACGCGAGCAGTGAAACTCATAAACCACCACAATGCGTGCAGACTTTCAGGGACCACGTACAGATATTGTAAAGTAATTCCAGGTGCACAAATACATTCCCACGCATTTCCTGGTCCAATATCCGTCTTCATCTAAAATATTCTTTATGCTTGATTTTTTTAACCATTATTTTACTCCCCAGAAGCCTGTGCACGGTTCGCTCGGAACAGAAATGGCAGGACCTGACTACAGGTTGGGCCACGTTTTAGCACGATTTTATGCATCTGCCTGGGTATTTCTGCATTTGAGCAAAGACAATGGACTGGAAGGATTTTTATTTTGCCTTTGTTTCCAGGTTTCATGCAAAATGTTGAACGAAATCATCAGGAATAGCGACCTATATTCTTCCTATAGATTTTATTGAGTTAACGTCCTTGACGTTTATACGGAATGCTAGGACACAACAAAGGTTTTTTTATCTGTTTTCACTACACGAAATAAATATTGCTTATCTTACAACGATTAAATCTGATTTTATTTACTGTTTCCAAACACCTAAAGACAGTGTTCTTCGAAAGTGCACAAGCAAACATACTTTTGCCTGAACACTTGAGAAACCCTTTGACGTCTAAGGCGGACAAGGAAGACGCACGCTTTCGAAAGATATCAAGATGCAGTTCTGTCGTTTGAAAACAATTCTGCCAACACCGCCCGGGCCTTCTGACCCACAGCTGGTGTGAGGCATTTCAGAAACCTCAGACGCAAACGGGTCCACAACGACAAAAAACCCCAACATAACAAAACGTGGAATGGAACGTCTGAAAAAGTAGATCAGTATCTTTAAACTAAAAATCCAGATTTCTCTCCGTTTTATGGACCGAAGTCTCTTCAATCGCCACTGTTACCAACGAAGAGGCGCCCCTTTCCTCCATTAAACCGACAGACATTTTGAACTTCAGTTAATGGACACTGTAAACATTTTAAACAAGCACGGGTACCAGACGTTTCTTTTAAATTATTGTCTACTGAATAATAGTACTGACATCCCCGGGCCAAACGAACCCGAGTCGTGTAACCGTTGGTCAAGTTGAAATTCAATAACTAATGCGCACTGGATTATTATTAGTAGTGGTGTCAGTTTTAACTTTTCTGCAACGTCTCTTATCGAATTATTTCCTCCCACAGCAGTATTTGTAGCTCACAGCGGGAAACTGTCTGCTTCTTGAAAAAAGAGAAGCCAGTCGTACCGAGGTCGTACGATTTAAAAAAAGCGGTTTTATTCCAGAAAGTGTTGCAGCTGCTGCTGTCCGGACCTCTTTAATATCCAAATCTGTGGGGGGGGAAAAGACACACTCGATCAAAGGAAAACCGTCCGTGCTATTTCTTCCTGACGGAATACCTCAGTCGCTGTTCTGTTTACGCCTGAATTTCTGATTTCGCCCGGCGCTCGCGGCACTGCGGAGCAGGCGCGTGACGAGAGGAGCCCCGGAGAGGCGAGCCGAAACGAGCCGAGGGCCTCGCGCTGGCTACTGCCCCCCCGCGTACGGCGCCGCGCGGAAGTCGCCCACGCAACCCCCTGCACGACAGAAGAGGAAACTGTGAAAGCTTTCTTAAAATATATATGTATACTTATCCATCGAATTGTATGTTTTTATATTCGTGGACGAAAGGCTGAGCCGGTGGCAGGCGGAGCTGCTTTCACTTTACGAGAATAATACAACGCGAAATCAAAATATCATAGAAATAAAAAATAACATCTATTTCCCTTGCTGAGGTTATGGTGTCCTTTCCCCCCCGACATATTCATTTCAATTTGGTTGCAAAAACAACTCGCCTGGCAATTTATGCCACTTATCTAACAGATTACACATTAATGTCATGAAAACGACACGCCTTAATCCAGCTCTTATTCAGACACGCTCGTGTGGACGGAAAATAAAGGGACACGGTGCAATTTCATCATTTCGAATCTTCTAAAAAAAGAGCAGGCTACTGTTCACGCCCGAGGAGCCTACGGGAGAAATTCCGGTTGTCAGTCAGCCCCGCGCAGCACGTCCGTGCCCCCAACCAGCAGCACAAGCCGGCAGAGGCTGCCGCGAACTTCTGTCATCTCTCAACTCGGCCCGCCCGAGGAAAAGTTGGATCTATTTGTTTTTCTGCTCGTACTCGAGTGTTTATTTTAATGTATTTTTGTGCTCTTAGTTACGTTTTGGTGTGTATTTTCTATGCTCGACTTCAAAACAGTTAAAGCAAAAAAATCTATATCTATATCTATATATGTATGTCTCTGTAAGAGCGATTTCGGCATAAGTACAAGACTGGTCTCTATCGCACGACTGTACCGGCCTCCGTCCACAGCTCTTGTCGCCGGGTCCGTTCTGCGCTTCAGCAGCTTTACGGCACAGAAGCGCCGTTCGATTTTTCCTTCAGTTCTGGCCTTGTTTTTTTTTTTATTTCGGATTTCTTTTTCAAGGTCTTGGAAACCTGTTTTTAAAAACTCGGAGCTTACTTTTAAATTAGCTTCACACCCTCGACTAATATTTTTTTTTTAAAAAAAAAGTCAGAAGGAAACGTTCAGTCTCTTTTCTCCCAGCGTTGATTTTTTTTTAATCGAGCCCCACGAACAAAATGAATCAAAATAAAACTTTCCTCTCTCCCTATGTTCCTTCCCCAAACGCACTCGTTTTCGTTCCAAATCCCGGCTGATCGGCTCCTGTTCCACAATCGCCGCGCTGTGTTTTTTTTTTCTGCTTTACCAGGAACTGGGCTGCAGTTTTTATTAACGACACGTTTATGAACAATCAAATGGTCCCTCGTAAAAATTTATTGAAGGACATAAAATCATCCCCGGCCACTTGCCGAATACAACCCGCTGAAGTGTTCATGATTTTCAGCGCCTTACGATTCCCAGCTCTCCCAGTTTTGCAAAATAAAAAGTCCCGTTTTTTACGAGGGTTATCCCAGTAAGATTGTTTGGATAACGAGGGTCTTTCCTTTCTGTTTTAGCGTCGTAAACAGAGGACTGTCGCACATTAATCCACTTGACATTGCAATTAAACACCCCCCCCCCCTCCAAAAAACCCTCATCTACACCCCATCCAAAGGAGCAGACCGAAAAGGATATCTGTTAGGAGAAATCAAGAGGACTTCCTTATAAAGAGACGTCTAGGTGCTGTTTGCTTGGTATGTGTACGTGTTGATTTTTAATCTAATATTGCCAAACACCCCAAGCGACGTGTATCAGACTTTGACGAGCTCAGCCACGGACGGAGATTAATTACGGAAACAAATAGTGCCTTCAGTGGGCTTCTCCACATACCTCGTGCTCCGTGATGGGTGATTTTGTCATGCCTGCAGGAAAGCTTAATCGTTTTTTTTTTCACCGTAACACGAGGAAAGGATTTGTGGTCTTTGATTTTCAACACCCATATCTAGGTGAGATTAAAATAAATAAATACACACACGCTTTTCCAAAAAAAAAAAATCCTGAAACCTTGAACTGCACGGCTATCCCAGAAAGACTCGCGCATTGATCCACTGTGTAATTTTTGGGGGGTAAATATAGTCACGTGGCGCCGGGCAGCCAATGGGAGCCCAGGAAGCCCGGAGAAATAATTACCTGGCTTGATTGTTCTATGAGCAGATAAAAAAAAGTACACATAGACTCCATACAATAATCGGACGCATGTAAAAGAGACAGGAGGCTTCGTCATGTCGGCCACGGGTCCCATAAGCAACTATTATGTGGATTCATTGATAAACCATGAGAGCGAAGAGGTGCTGGCTGCTACTCGGTTCTCCGCTCCCGGAGCCCTCCCCTCAGCCTCTCGTCCGGCAGGGCTGGTACCGGAGTGTACCGACTTTCCCTCGTGCAGCTTTGCCCCCAAACCTCCTATCTTTACCACCTCCTGGGCCCCCGTCCAGTCGCAGTCCTCTGTCGTTTACCACCCTTACACCCACCAGCCGCACTTAGGCGCAGATTCCAGGTACGTGCGCTCCTGGCTGGAGCCTATCTCGGGAGCCGTGTCCTTCCCCGGCTTCCCGGCGAACAGCAGGCACTACGGACTGAAAACCGACGCGTTCCCGGAGCGGAGAGCCGGCGACTGCCTGGCCGCCAGCGGAAGGAACTACTCGGATTATCTGTACGGCTCTTCGGCTGACATCCGAGACAGGACGCCGCAGAATATCCCTTCTCCCGAGACTGAGGTTTTGGCTCCCAGTAAGCACAAAGAAGAGAAGGCAGAGATAGACCCGAGTAAGTCGAAGTCATTCCTGTTTACAACCTGGTATTAAGGGGGTAATACTGTTTGCCTGCTGTCCTCCATAAAACCAAATGATCGTCTTTATTCCCCCCAAACCGTCGCTGCGAGGTGGCTGCAGGCACTAAAACAGAAGAGAAGCCTCGTAATGTTAGGCTGTAAAATAGGAGGCATGTTATAAAAATGGAAAACTCGAAAAACAAGCTTTCTTCGGGCTGAGGGGGAAGTTGGAAGCACGGGACGAGTCTGCCTTTCCGATCCACCTCCATGTTACTTGAGCTCGTGCTGTGTTTTGGTTTGTTTTGTTTTCGTCCTGAAGCTTCCCGAGACCAGGACTAATTCTTGTTAGTATTCTAGTATTATTGTAGTCTGAAACTGCAATAGTATTGCAGCATTGCTGGGTGTGTGAAATGTAAAAACCTTGCAATGAATATGACTCCATGCAAGCTCTGTTGTTACTGTAGACCTATAGGAGTAGACAACAAGAATAATGGCAACATAATAATAATAATATTATTAATAACAGCAACAATACAGTAATACTACTACTACTACTACTACTACTACTACTAATAATAATAATAATAATAATAATAATAATAATAATATTTTCATT